TGCCGCGCCAAGATCGGTGGCGCTGCAGACCCTGCCACGTCACCGGCCAGTAGCCCCGGTCGTCGCCACGTCATCCTCCCGCCGCGCCACCATGCATGGCGCGGCATAGGCGTTTCGCCGCGCCATGGCAATATGCGCGGCCAAAAGTGTTAGTTTTGGGGGGAAAAAACAACGTTAGATTTAAAATTAGTTTATAAAAAGTGTTAAAATTAAAAATAAATTTCACAACACGAGGCTCGCCAGGTTCTCCCTAGTTTTGTCGGAGATGGAGATGGAATGGAAGCACTCAGCAGCCTGACTGTCGTCCTCATCGAGCTGCCCCTGCAATGACGAGGATTTTAGATGACGAGGGAGATCCGACATGGCACAAAAAAAAAAACCTGTGGCTAGCTGTTGTTCCGGCCGGTTGATGCCGGACACTCCGATCTTATGCAGTGCAGGTGCAGCAGGGTAAGGTTCTCGGTCGAGCTCATCCAGAACGCCCTCGCTCATCGCCTGTGGACCCGCGCTCGTGCTGACGTTAACAACACCCATCGAGTGCATCAAGCTGGAAAGCTTTCCCAATCCTTCTAGCTTATAGGTACCGTACACGCCATTAATTACGGGAGAGGCGCCATCAAGTCTTTCAAACATGCCGCCGTTGTTGCTATCATCCGATAGATTGTGGCCCTTGTCTCGTGAGAGGTGAGAAGTCCTTGTCTCGTGAGAGGTGAGAAAGAAGAATCTGAAGTCGACAATGGGGGTTGTTGTACTGTGGTCATTTTCGTCGAGATCATCACCGTCTTTGTCCTGCTCCAGAGAGATCAGAGTGCAATGACCTAGTAGGCAATTTGGGTGGTTTCTCATGATCTCCGTCAGTGCCGGTCTCGAGATTTTTGTGTCTACTACTAGAACCAAATTTAAAATAGAGGCACCTTATAATATAACTAAAAACTTAAGCATCAATTAATACATATTATATATCAATAAAAAGGATTAAAAACTTCCTTGGGGGTTTGGTTGCCAAGGAAACAAAGATGAGGTCTGATTTTTTTAACAACGCAAGAAAATGCAATACCCCAAGGACATATATTTTCATGATTACCGATGAATAAGCATTTTGGTAGCACTCAAAAATATGGAATTACTTTGGCGGTTGCACTCAACAATATGTATTTTCTTGATGGTTTCATACAACCCCCAAGGTAATAATGATAAATCGTCAGGGGTTCAATTTTGCCCCTCAAAGAAACTGCTGGCCCCCAAAGATATTCTATTTTCTGGTAGTGCCAGAACATATATACTCATGAGGCTTGATCTCGGAGAGCAGCCATGCTCTTGACTGTCATCATGTGATGTTTGTGTTTTAATTATTTTATTTGTGTTTTAATTATTTTATTTTCTCTACTACAGAAAGCATCTAAAATAGGTTTTCAGAGACACATGTTCTGCTTGCCTTTATCTATGTGTCTCTAGAAATCAATAATTTGTAAAGGCATGCCAAAACCTAGTAGCCGCCCCTAAAGATGGTTTATGTAGTAGTGTTTACTTTTGTTTATGTAATACCATTAAGAAGTGGACTGGTACAATAACATGGGGCGTATGCAATAAAAAATTGGTTAACAGCCACCAGCGTTTATCTATTAATACGTTGGGTGGATGGTGAGCATTCACCAACTTAATTTCCCAGGATCAAGCTAGGTGAGATCGGGACGGAGGCCGAAAAGCATGATCCCCATGAGGCAGTGGACATCGTCCATTGCTGCACACCCACACGTCGATTTTCTCCGGCTGGTGGCTGAGCCAAGGCCTCTGACCTTCAGGTTCAGGCACCTAAATGCTCCAAGTCCACGACCAGGTGTGCGATCGACCAATTATTATAGAAACAAAGATGCATGCCATGCCGGCCATTAGTTGTCCACTCATTAATTAGCTTCTCTATATGGATGTTTTATTCTCGTCTACTTGCTCTGTCAAGTGGTGCATGGTAGAGTATAGTCGAATACCATGATATATAACTAGTTTCTATGTTCTAAATTGTAAGCCGGTGTAACTTTTCTAGATATATAATATGTATGAATATTTACTATGTATATCTAGGATGACTAAAAATTTGGAACGGAGGGAGTACATACCAACTAGTCATGTCATGTAATTTGTTGTCACTTTGAGAAATCAAGAAATTCTTGTATGTATTCTCCATTTTGAGGAAATCTAAAACCCTGCACTTCCTAAACATTGGGTATCAAGCTCAAACTACTAATATCCCTCGATTTCAAATTACAAAACGTTTTAGCTTTTTCAGATACATTGTTGTTGCTATGTGTCTAGACATAGTCAGTAGAACACACAATCACTGCTGGTTATGGTGGAGTCGGCAAAGTGATAGTATATCATTGCCGGTTCGTGGCTTTAACCAACAGGTTAGAGCCATGAAAGCAGTGATAGCTTGTTTTGCAAAAAAAAAAAACACAGCTTTTGTATGACATCCGATTAAGATAAACTTTATATCAAAATGGTAAAGTTTAAAGAGATCTAAAACTTTATAGTTGATAACTTTTTGATCTGAGATGGCTTACAGGTCAAAATATGCAATATAAATTCTCAGATGAGATCTGATATGATTAACTATGTCAAATGGAGATGAAGTCAACATCAAAGTTGTAGCACTCGACGAAATCTACAACTTTACAGTTAACAACATTTTTATTTGAGATAATTTGAAGTGTCAAATATACAATATAGGGTTTAAAATTGTGTAGTTAAATGAACAGCACCAACTGTATGGTCACATGTGTTGCGTAGCTCAGTTGGTATGTGCGCCTGAGGGGATGTTAACGTTGAGGTCTTGAGCTTGAAACCTGAGAAACACATATTTTCAGATGTGATAGGGGTTCCCACGGGGCAGTGATTACAAAATCTAGTGTAGTAAGTGTATATCTAAGTGCATAGCAAAAGCTATGTATCTAGGAAAGCCAAAATGACTTATAATTTGGAATGGTGGGAGTACCGTCTAGATGCAACAATAGTCTATATGGGATATTCTAGTAATTATACTATTCTATAAGGATCACTACTGATGGCCTCCCTCAATATCACATCACACCGCTTGGCTTACTAATTTTTTTATTTGAGTAAAGTTCATTGGGGTCGTCAAATTTGTTTGCCTATGTCATCTTGGTACCTAAAATCATAGATTCATAGGTTATTTGTTCAGGCCCTCAAACTTGTTCTATTATATCATCTCGGTCCCTAAACTCCTAAATTGCTTGTTTAGATCCCCAAACTTGTTCAAATGTGTAGTCTCTGTCCCTAAACTCACAAATAATCTGTTTAGATCCTCAACCTATGTTCTCATCTTAGAACTCGTACAAATGTGTCTAGGCCCATGCCCATATGCTGATGTGGTATGCTGACATGTAGAGCCTGCATGTCAACTCTATTTTCCTTCTTCGTCCTCTCTATGAACTTAAAATACATATTTGGGACTCTAAATAATTTTAATAAATAACTTTTCAACTATAAAGTGGTAGATTGTATTGATAACTACAACTTTCCCATAGACCATATGTCAAGGTTGTTTGATAATTTTAAATTTCAAAACCAGTGGACTTAAAAAAATATTTTGGGACTCTAAACAATTTTAAATTAGAAACATCTCAACTACAAAGTTGTAGATCGCATGGATGGCTACAAATTATGAATTAGTTTTTGATGCAACTATTTTTAGAGAAAGGACTCTCAAGATGTCCGTCTCTATTAATCGATTTTTAGATGCAATTCTAGAAACAGGTCTCTTAAGATGTCCGACTTATCTATTAATCGATTTTAGAGACACCCATAGAATAGCCGCTCTTAATAGTGATTTTCAGAGATGAGGATCTTAAGATGTCCTCAGAATGGCCGCCTCTGCTAATAGTGATTTTCAGAGACAAGCATCTTAAGATGTCCACCTCTGAACATCGATTTATGAGACAGGCGTCCTAATGTCCTTGGGATGCCCGTCTTTGTAAATGATTGAGGTAGTGGGCGCTGTCTCCTAAAATCTTTTTTGTGGTAGTGGTACGTGAGAAGAGCTGCAAACCACGTCAAGCTTTCTTTGTAGTTGGATCCTGGATTGTTAGGCAGTTTGAGTTGCATGTTAAGTCTATGATTCTTAAGGCATAATGGGTCTCATTCTTGTTTCTTTTTCACCTTATTTTTTGTTTTGCTGTGTGTAACTAGCTGAGTACATCGTTTGAGTGGAGAGGTCAGACAATATGTCACTCGAAACCATGCTTCCTTTTAAAACAATTCACACTTTTTTTACCATGTCTTATTATTATAGGTTGCCTCATGAAGCCCATAAAGGTTGAAGCATTGAAATCAGTTATTAATCGTGATGTACTTGTCCCTGACATATGACACAAGGTGAACATACTCCATCCGTCCCACATTAGTAGACATTTTAGAATCTCTCACAGAAACTAACGCTGAAGCCAAAAAACCAAAATGCCACTTAAGAAATAGAGATAGAGATGTAGTAGGGAAAAGAGAAATTAAAGATGTATTGGAAAAAGAGAAAGGTGCATTGGGAAGTGAAAATATCAAATATCTTGGGACAAAATTTGAATGCTATAAAATTAAGGTCATCTATTTTGAGACGACGGGAGTATATTACTCCCAGTTCTCGGAAATATAAGACCTGTCTATTCATTCAAAAGGAGCTTTTGACCAACAATTAATCTAATAATATAAGGATATGGTCTTTTTGGTTCACATTTATCTATATGTGGTTTGTTGTGATTATAATTGTGTAACTATGTTTGTAACTCTCAAAAAAATTGTGTAACTATGTTTCAGCATAAAAGTTGGAGGAGAACTTTTAGCCCATAATTATCTCACTTCTGGAGGGTTAAAGTGCCTGTTATGTTTTGGAATCAGGGAGTATAATTATTTTTTCAAAGTACGTACCTATATGCAGCAACGTGGAAAAACACCACTCTGACATATATATTTGAATGCCTAACTGAACTATCAACATGTTTGGAATCTTTCTAAAGGATGAACAAAGTGGCATGCCCGAAATGATTGATGCAATCGGAACAGCCCTTCGATCAATGGGCGACGGCGAGATCAGCATTTCAGCATATGACACAGCATGGGTTGCGCTTGTGAAGAGCTTGAATGGAGATAACACACCGCAGTTCCCCTCGTGCATTGATTGGATTGCTCGGAATCAGCTGCTAGATGGATCATGGGGTGATGACTTCTTCCTTGTCCAAGACCGGATTATCAATACCCTTGCCTGCATCATCGCACTGAAATCATGGAAAGTCCACGACGATGCATGCAAGAAAGGCACTCTCTGCACACCGACTATATATAATACATTCGGGCACCTAATTTAGAACACCAAATAGATCAACAATGCATTGCTTAAATGGCACAAAAATGTTTAACGTTTTCTTTTTCAAAGCATGTTTTTCAATAAGGATCCAACAATATCATACTCCCCCCGTTCTTTTTTATATGTCATATTAGCTTTGTCCTAAGTTAAACATTATTATCTTTGACCAACTATTTTAAAAAATTCTTATAGTTTCGCAACATATGAATTATATATTATGATAGTATTTCTCATAGTGAATCTAAAAACATAAATTTTATAACATGAATGTGTATAATTTTTTTTGAAACCAATGGTCAAAAATACAAATGTTTGATTTAGGACAAAGCTAATACGATATCTAATAAAATACGGAGGGAATGTAAAACATTTTTTGTGTGATGAATGGCATCATATAACACTTATATTCTTAATGAATGTCGAAATGTGTGGGCGTCTTATATTTTGAAACAAGGGAGTTAGTTGTATGATATCACAGTCTTGGGGTTGTTAACAAGCTTATCACTGTCAAATGTACAGATTAATAAACATAATCAATTAACTAAGTAAACTCAACACGATTACCTTAAGTAATAAGCGATCTTGGATTCTTTATAGTGAACATCCTTCTGCATCTTGATGGCATGAATTTGACTTGTTGTAGGTTTGTCATTCATCTCTGAAAATATGTGGAGGTTAACCAAGGATGATGATAATTGGACGCTATGTGGCTTTGAGATTATCTTCCCTATGTTGCTGGAGAAGGCCAAGAACCTAGGTGTGAACATACCGCTTGATGACCCCACGTTGGAAGCAATATATGCCAAAAGAGAACTCAAGTTCACTAAGTAAATCTTTGTTCTTTTCTTAATGTCATTTTGCACATGAACACATGTATTTAGGTGAGCTATAGATTGTTCCTACAATAATGCCTCTATTAAAGCCATACTCATTAAATGCCTCTGTTAGAAACCTCTTGGAATTAGGGAAACTCATTAACTCCCTAGTAATTCCAACTTTGGCAGCTTAAAGAAGTCAATAATTAACCGTACTCTTTCAAGGGATAAGGCGAGGGGCATGCAATTATTTTTTTCTTCCTCTTATTTTTTGAATGAACAAATTATTAATTATAACAAAGTTCTATATTATTACATCCTAATATGCTTTAAGGAAAACCAACATAAAATACAAATTCCACACACAAGGAGAGGCTAGCTATATGGCTATCTAAATGTTGACTAGCACATCATGATTTTACAGCACTTAATTGAGTGTGAAAGAAAAGGGTGATTATATGTATGCATCTATATTCAGCGCACACTTCCATGTTGACATACAGTTCCTTTATCTAAATAAAAGATATAAAAAGGTTTGACGCATCCCCAACCGAATTTTTCAAAAAGATATTAGTAATTTGAACACTGAATGGGTCAATTTCAATTGAAAAAGGGCTCTATATATATTTTGCCCACCTTGTCCTTAACTTTCATGGGTATATTCATTATCAGTGTCATGTCCTCATCATTTGGGACATGGAAATATGACACGGTTGAAATCCTTAAGCCACCTCAACTCTAGAAATCCATGTTCATGACGTGGAATTTCTTATGACATCCATGAAAACCTAATATATATTTTTTTTTGCAAATGATAGTACTGACGAAGACATTCATATGACACATCTTCAAAATGGGTCTCAACATGGCTTGTGCCATCTACAGCAAATTAATTTATCACTATGCTGGTTACATAATAATTTCCTTGTTTATCTCTGTAGGATTCCGAGAGATGCACTCCATGTTGTACCAACAACTTTCCTTCTAAGCATAGAAGGGATGCCAGGTTTGGACTGGAAAAGGCAATGTAAGCTCCAGTGTCCAGACGGCTCCTTCATGTCTTCACCTGCTCCCACGGCTTATGCTCTAATGCAGACTGGGGACCCTAAGTGCTTTGAGTTCCTTGATAGAGTGGTCAGCAAGTTTAACGGAAGCGGTACGAAGAGTAATAAAATGATTACATGAAACTACTTCCTTTGTTCTTTTACCTGCTGTTAATTTTTGTAGCTTTCAACGAGGTGTTTTGACGTTATGATAATTTGTGGAATTTACTAAGAAAGATAACTACATATCACTACAACATTTAGGGTTCATTGTACTCTGCTAGTCACAAATAAGTGATATTTTAGGATTGTGCTAAAGCAAGCCCTTTTATCTGTGATCACCAAAAGCTAGAAAACAGGATACATTTTTAATATAGGATTAGTATATATTAGTAGATTTGTCATGACAAATAGTTTCACAATATATAATTTCATTGATTATAAATAATATGGTTTTACACAGATATTGTTGGTCAAATTAAGGTCAACAAAGTTTTAGTTCAAACAATCCTAGCTAAAACGATACTCTTCTTTGTGCCCAGAGAAGCATTTTCCAAGATGATCCAAATCAATTGTGCATCATTTGTACTTCCTTTTCAGTACCTTTTGTTTACCCTATTGAGATGTTCGAGCGCTTATGGGCTGTCGACCGATTGGAGAGGTTGGGCATATCACGTTATTTCAAGAGTGAAATTAAGGACTACTTAGATTACATTTACAGGTAACTATATTAGTTCACTGCCCATACATTTTATATTCAGTGTATCTGATTGTCGATAATAGTGACCCCCCGGATGTCATCAATGAGGCCATACATGTTAAATACAACAGTTATATAACTATATTCTACAGCCTGCCATAAAATAGCTATGCCATCTACTATCAACAAGAAGTATCAATTTACTATAATCTGCATATGGATGTATGATGTCATGTTTTACTATTGAAACATTTAATTACCATCGACACGTAGTAGATCAGTGGTGAAGTTATATACGAAATTCAGGTGCCCATTGAAATAGCTATTTTGTGACTAGTCACAGAATAATGACAAACCTAGCTATGTTTTTATATATACCCGGCACCATATATTTACAGATGGGGCAGTAGATGCTACTCCCTCCATTCCGGTATACCCGGCGTACAACGCCATATACCAGATACCAAGAAGGTTATGGAGAGATACGGGCGTGCCGTGCTTTGCTGCGCTGCGATTGGCATATATTTTTTATTCACAAAGGGCATACGTGAGGAACGGAGTACTAGTGCAGCCTCGGTTCAGCTGCATGCGCAACATGCGTCGCTTCGAGTCTCGAGAGCAGTCCGGAGTAATGACTATAGGCATACGTACGCCTTGGTACTACTTCCTGCCTGCTATTTTGGCCGATTTGAAAAACGCTTGTACGCCGGGTAAACTGGAATAGCGGGAGTATTCATCAGGAGTACATTCTTCTTAACATGACAGGAACTGGACTGAGGAAGGCTTGGCTTTTACGAAGGGCTGCCTAGTGAAGGACATTGATGGGCCATGGGTTTCCGCCTTCTGCGACTGCATGGCTACCATGTCTCTCCTTGTAAGTGTTGCTCCTGTGTCTGCGCTATAAGCAGGAGTACTAGAGGATGGTGAATAATATAAGAACCGTGCGTTTGAAATTTGAATCTAAATATATATGCATGAAGGTGTCTTCAAGCAGTTTGAGAATGACGACGGCCAGTTCGTGTGCTACGCAAGGCAGTCGAACCAGTCAGTTACCGCGATGTACAACCTGTTCCGTGCTGCTAACCAGACCACGTTCCCTGACGATGATCACATCCTCCGGCGCGCCAAGAGCTACACCCGTGGGTTCCTCCGGGAGAGGCGAGCCACCGGCCAGCTAAACGACAAGTGGATCATCTCTGAGGGTCTGCCTGGCGAGGTAAGTCAGAAAGTTCAGTCCATTGGCACTAGTCAACAGACAACGTACGCATGACTATAACTATCTATGCACTATACACACTTAATTGGTCGAATCCCTTCCTTCCAGGTCGGCTATGGTCTGGATTTCCCTTGGGAAGCTAGTATGCCACGCATTGAAACGAGAATGTACCTTGAGCAATACGGTGGAAGCGCTGACGTGGGGATTGGGAAGGTCCTCTATAGGTATACTCTTTTATTTAGAAAGGTCGGCAAAAGCTTTGTCGCAAAATTTATTAGAAGAAGGAAAAACAAAGGCATGTGCCGGCTAGTTTTTCGAGTGGGAACTGGAACAAAAAAAAAAGAAACATGACAAAACAACTTCATAACAATGACTAAAATCACCTAACGAACTCCATACCACTACACCCTCAGGTTACACAAGGCCAACTTGGTCTAAACGGAAAACAACATACCAGGAATACATCATAAACCACAACCAACATGTCAAAGAAAATAATAAAAGAAAATGCATGTACCTCTAGTTGCATTACCCATGATATGCGGCGACGCTGCTAGGCACTAGCTTAACTCCCCCAGCTGTCCCCTACAGAACGAACCTCTTCAGCAACGATATGTACCTCAAGGTGGCGAAAGCTGATTTAAGAAAATTTCAGAGACTATGCCGACTAGAGTGGCACAGCCTGAAAAGGTATAGTACGGACAATTCCTCCTCTCCTTGTTGAGCACTGGATGTTTGACTTGACAATCAAAAGGTTCAGAGTTACGTACAGTTATGGGATTTGATTTGAGGTTGTCATTACACGCAGGTGGTGTGGCAAGAACAATCTTGAAATGTACGGCGTGACTCGGCAGAGCGCGCTGAGAGCTTACTTCCTGGCCGCGGCCAGCAACTTCGAACCGAGCCGAGCAGCAGAGCGCCTGGCATGGGCACGCACAGCGGTGCTCGCCGAGGCCATCTCCGGGTGCTTGCTGATGAGCAGCAACACTCACGACGATCGGACGATGACGGCCGAATGGCTCGTCGGTGAATTCGTCAACAGCGACGATGACAACCCGGCAAGGTCGGTCGCCACTCTCTTGTGCCTTATTAATTGGCTCCTAGCTCAATTCATTGCGTTTCCAAAATCGGTTCACCGCGTTACCGGCTTACCGCTGGTGGTGCAACTTGTGTGGGTGCAGTGGAAGAGGGAAGAAGAATTCACGAGTTACTAGCAGCCTCGGCTATGCTCTTCGTGACCTTATTGACATCCATGCGTCCGGCAACGCTTCTGTCGCTGACTGTCTTCGTGGAGCTGTAAAAAATTGTCCCTCATTCAGCCATATATACTCTCTTCAAATACGACATCACAGAGTGGATTAATCTGTTTTGATGCATGGTCACAGTGGAAGGAGTGGTTCATGGCATGGACTAAAACGGAGAGGGAAGGACCACGCGCAGCGGATACAGCAATGTTGCTAGTTCGCACAGTCGAGATTTGTTCTGGAAGGCACCACTCCACCGAACACTACCAGATTATTCGAAGCTCGAACAGCTTACCAGATCCATCTGCTGCAGACTGGCGACTGAAGCTCCTGCTCTGGTACGGGCATGCATCGTCGCAAAAGTATTTACATACATGCATGCATCCTCTTTGTTTTTTTATAGAGAAATTGAATCTGGCTTCACCCCTTAGAACTAAGGGAATCAGATCACTTACTACAGAAGATTAAACTAACATAAAACATGTCTAAACAAAACTCAACTCTAACATTATTTAGCTAAACAAATGAAGGAAAGAAATGTATAGTTGCCAGTTCTAGGTCCCAGCACATTCTGTGAATATTTTCTTTGTTATCATCACACAACTATAGCTGTACCCAATGTCATAACGAGTGCGTTCCCATCAACAAGACTTGTAAAAAAGTTTATGTTAGCTTTTTCAAAATCAACTTTATTCCTTGTAAACCAATTTTTCACCACATCCTTGTTTGTACCATCTATGAAAAAGGTCAATAACATCCAAAGATAGTCTTAAGCCTAAAACAATAATACCGCACGCCCTCATAAAGGTAGTCAAAAAACAAGTGTTGGATTGTTTCGTTCTTGCAATAGAAAAGGCACAAGATATATTTCGGTTCCAATTTTTCTTTGCTAACTTATCCTTGGTAAAAGTTACCCACCGTTTTAGGAACCATAGAAATATATTTATTTTAGAGGCTTCCTCACGCGCTAAACATCCATAGCAACTTTGATCCCTGTTGTGACAAGATGTCGATACATGGAATTTACTATGAATGAACCATTAGTTTTCAAAAGCCAAAAGAATGTACATCTTTCATCATAAAAATTAATGTCCACAACCTTTACTCCAAGGCTATTCCACTCCAGTAGTAATGCCCTTCAAAACGTAACATAAAGAGGAACCATACATAGAGTCTATGCAACCATAGCATGCTTTTGATGAACAATATTAAAAAGGATTGGATTCCATTTTAAGCGGATGTCTGCTCAGCCAAGTATCATCCTAGAATCTGATTTGGGAACCATCATCCAATTTGGGAACCAGGCATCCTCTTTGTAGTGCTGTATGATGTTTGATAATTATTGCATTAGCTTACCGAATCAAACGTTGGGTGATCAACCAGAATGGAGAAAACATGGACAAGATTGATGATCTGGACAGGATGGTTGGATTCGAGATGCAAGAACTGGCTCAATGTGTTTTCCAGAGCTGCAGCTCCATCAACAGAGAAACACGGCAGACATTTCTCCATGTGACCAAGAGTTACTACTATGTCGCCCTCTGCTCACATGAAACAATTGAACATCACATCTCCAAGGTCATATTTGAGGATGTAGTTTAGCAATAATATGTAAGTCCCAATTCTTCTGTACTCCCTCCATTCCAAATTCTAAGGAGGGTCAAAGAATCTCAAGCTTGACATGGCTCCTCTCTTTCAGTTGCAGCAATCTAAATAGATTCCAGTTCAGTTCAGTAGCGCAGAAAATTCTCAAGCTCAATGCATGGGATCCCTGGATTGAGTGAATCTTATCACTACTGCCGACTGGTTCTTGCTGGGACATCAAGGTCCATAACACTGCTCCAGCATTTCCATGTCAATATTGTCACAGGATTCAGTCGTACCGACAGAAATAATCCGTGGCCTTCTTCGCCTAGTATTTGTGTACGTTGGGAAGGATGCCCAAAATTTCCTGTTAAACAAATACCAACGTAACCGTTGCCATGTGAGAGAAAAGGTCGAAGAATCACTGCATCTGATGCTCAATGCTCAGCGAAATAAAAATTGTATGTCCTCCGATCCAGAGTTGCTGTTCCCTTCGTCTCTGAAACACAACCATGTACGGAGACTGAGGCTTTGCTTGCACACCTCCCACCCCATGGCAACCCCAATCCAGGTGAGCATACTTGCGGCCCTGCAGGAACTATGGAAGCAAGTTTGTTGGGCCGGGCAGTGGCATCACAGCCTGGTGGTGATGATTGGTGAAGCGTTCGAGTAGATAGACATAAAAAGTTCACATTACCTTCCTCAAATTTCGCGAAAGTCCGTTTTTCCTCCCTGAACTTCAAAACCGGGCAAAACACCTCTCTCAACTTTTAAAACCGTTCACCTTACCTCCCTGGCCCTGCTATAAGCAGTTTTGAAGGCGGTTTTGTCTTTTTTTTTTATTTCGGTTGAAACTTTAAAAAATCATAGTAAATCATAGAAAAATCATAAAATAGAAAATCCAATTTTGTTAGACTCTACATGAGTAGATCTACACAGTGAACATATAATATGATATGCTTTAATACAAAGTTTTTGCTGTGTCTTTAGATCTATGTTTTTCTATAATTAACTGAAATAATTCATAGCTGCAGTTTCTATATAGTCTAATTGTGATGAAATTTTTATGGTGAGCTAATTATTGTATGATTAAACTATAGTAAAAAATTCATACTCATTTTATCATGTATTGCTTAGTTATAAATTTATTTATATTTAACAAGCGTAAACGTAAATAAAATCAGCTGGTTCTCCACGGATCGGACGGGCCACGGAACAATCTGCCGGAGGAGCAGTCAGCGTTGTACGCAGCTGCCACTCCCTCGGCAAGAACGGATTGGTGGCAAGTGGGTGAGCTCGTCTGATGTCCTAGCTCGTATACTAGCAGTCAGTAGTGGCGCAGCCTAACGCGGAATCCCTGTAAGAAGAGTTATCAAGCACAAGGGAAAAGGCGATGCAAACCAAAACCTGCATAAACAGCTTCAACGACTCAAGAACACTTTCTTCTTTTCAATAGGTAAAAGCACACCACCTTCTCATGACAAAGCTTAAGAAAAGATATTCACACTTCGTCTTTGATTTACTTTTCCTTAGTTTAGTAGCATCTCCTATTTCAACTGAAACCTAACATGACCATTGATTCCGCCTCCATTGCTGGAAAGGATAACGATGGATCTTTTGCTAGCTCATAGGCAGAGGAAAGGTATAGTCTCGTTAACAGATAAGGGGACGGAATGGGATCAATCAATCCATGATACCGCGAGTCCACGACACAGAGGATGTGCGCACCGGACATAATAGATCTGTTGCCACTTGCCAGCGACTGGGAAAGCATACACGGAGCAGAGATTTGCAACAAACTTCCAGTTCATGCAGCCTTTGGTCGTCCATGCTGAATATATATAGTACTCAAGTCTAGAACAACCATATACCAATGTTCAGGTTCTGGGTAGGGATCTGCTGCTCCTGTACAGGAAGGTTCTGTATAGGTTCCTCCACATCTAAATTCTCCGGAAGTTCAATGTCATGAGCCCCAACTAGTTGGTCAAGAGGTATCTTTTCATCCCAATTGATTTCAGGTAGTTCTTGATCACGAGCTAAGGGTTGGGGGAGAGCAAAAGCTTGCTGATTAGGAAGCTCATCTTCAATCTGCATCAAGTTTTCCTCTTCAGGCAATAGAGATGGGATGGCATTGATTTGGGGGTTCTGCTGGTGCCCCAACCCTCTCCCTCTCTCTCGCGTGGGCACGACCGGCATCCGGGAGCTGGGATGAGTGGTTGAGGATGATGATGGTGCAGAGCCATGCTGCTGCAAGCAGGTCGCATCAGCGATGCCCGCCTCAAGTACCACATGCAGTGAGGCGTGCTGGCCTAGCTCATCGAGCTCGACCATGGGAGCTTCACCGCACCGCCCGGACTTGTCACGCCGTCGCTGGTGCCTCCATCGGTCTGTCGTGGGCCGCCTCCACCGTGCTAGTTCGTCATGCCGCCCGCCTAGACTCATCACGCTGTCATGGGTGCGTCCACCACACCAGATTGCTGCTGCGCTCCTGTTTGATTCACCCAAGCAACAACGAGATGTTGCGTTGGAGCGCATCTTGCAAATGTATGTTTCAAGTGTGGCGTATGTTTCAGAGTTATGTTACAAGTGTTTTATATCGGTGTTGAAAAAAGTAGATTGGGATGCTACACATGTTGCAATGACTATACACATACGTTGCAAGTGTACATTCAACATGTTTCATCTATTTTTCAGACGCATGTTGCAAGTGTTTCATCCGAATGTTGCATTAGCGGATCTGGATGTTGCATATACATGCATGTTGCAAGCATATATTTCAAGTGTTTGGTGTTTCATATGTATGTTGTAAGTGTTTCATCCGATGTTGCATATATTTTGCAATGGCTACACACGTGTTTTCGTGTGTTTTCAGACGTATGTTGCAAGTATTTTTAATTTTTTTCGCACATATGTTGCAAGTGTTGTCATCTGGATGTTGTAAAAGTAGATCCGATGTTGCATATGTTGCAATGGAACCCACACTGCCTTGCCGCCTACTGCAGCTACTGGGCACCGCCATGGTCACCGTAAGGGGGCTTTGAGGCCGGGTAGACGATCTGCGGAGAGCATCCACAAAGGGGCAGGTGAGTGGGACTCACGTGGGCACAAAGCGGTCCCGAAGTGGAGCCGACGCAAGTAGGCCCCCAAGGTGCATTCGCGTGTGAAAGGAGTGGCGCGAGGAAATAGAGCGGCGTGGAGTGGTCCCGCTTGTGCGAGGGAATCCAGCGACGCGTGTGGGCATCCGGACACGAGTGTAGGTATGGACGTCTGAGTGCTGGCCTGTCCATCTTGAATTTTGGTGAATGTTTTATCATATTATACATGGGGATCCTTGTTAGGTACTCGTCAGTACATGCAGTTATTATTTTTTTAGAAAAAGTCAGTTCAATTATTAGTTTTTTTGAGCAACAGTTAAATTATTAGTTTTTCTTTGGAGCAAAAGTTCAATTATTAGTTGTATCAGCCAGGTTCACGCCTCAAAGAAACGTGGGGGCCCAATGCGAAGGAGCAAAGCCCATCAGACTCTATACTAGGCCCTTCACGTCTGTGGGCTCGGGACCAAGAGCCGATCGATCGAGATTGGACTAGGAGAAAGACTGGCCGACCGAGTTCGCCGTGACGGCGACCGGGCGACGGAACTCGGGAGCTCTGACCTTCCTCGTTCCTATCCCTACTGGCGGCTCTCTTCTACGGTTGGTCACTCCTGCTTCCTTCCCGTTCCACACACCTGAACGGAGCTCCAGTTCTTCTATCGGCCCGAGGTCAGATTTTCCTCCTTTTATCCTCCGTCATAGTCTTCATCTTTTTTTTTACATAAAGGATAGTTTATATCCGGCTTCATCTACCGAGGTAAAATCAGGCTCATTATTACAAAGTTCATAGCACACCATTTTTAAGGTTGAGAAGCTCACATCCAGACTTTAGGAAACAAAACATGAAGAGAAGTCTTGACTAAGAAAGACCAAAAAAAACCTAGTAGATAACCATCCACTGGAACTAAAGAAATGCAGGGCTGAAGTCTCCAAATGCTGCCCAGCAAGGGTCAGCTGGTCCCGTAGATCATCACGCCACTGTAGTCTTGCCCACTGCCGTAGCCAATGGGTTCCCCTGCAGAGCACCTGCAAAAAAGTTTTGGTCTACATTTGTCAAAAACCACTTCATTTCTTGTTAACCAAATTGTCCAACATAAAGCCGCTGCTGCCGTTAATAACAATGAGTTATAAATAACACCACCCATCTTAGACCAAGTAACAAATAAATCGTCTATGTTGACAGGAGGTGCTATTCCAAATAATAAGTGTACAGCGCGCCACAGAAATTTGGCATAAGCACATTCGAAAAAAAGGTGGTGAATAGTCTCTGTAGAGTGACAAAAGCAACAACTTTTGTCACCATTCCAGTTACGTCTTGCAAGGTTACTTTGGTTAGGATTACACCTCTTTTTAGGTACCACAAGAATATCTTTATTCTTGTAGGAATCTTGATCTGCCATAAATCTTGTGACACTCTGACACCATTGTTAATTAACTTGGCATACATAGATTTAACCGAGAAGGTACCTAATGAATGTAAAGCCCAAACAAATGTGTCTCTTTCCCCAGTAAGTTCACATCTTGTATAGAAGCAACAATTCTAAGCCAGTCCCTTAGATTCCTACTCACTAAATTACGGCGAAAGGAAATGTTAAGTGGGACTGAAGCAAGTACTCTTGCCACCGAATCTTGTTTTCTTGTCACAATATTGAATAACGCAGGAAATCTATCTTTTAGTGGCTGGTCACCCGACCAAGCATCAATCCAAAAACGAGTTTGTGATCCGTCTTTTACTCTGAATGAACCCAAACCCATGAAAGTATCTTTAATATTCATCGAGCCTTTCCAGAAATGAGAGCCAGTTGGCTTTTTAGTACAACTCCCTAGAGTTTTATCTTTTATGTATTTATTCCTCAATAATTCTTGCCACATGCCATCCTCATTTAGCAATTTGAAAAGCCATTTACTTAATGAGACATCTGTTTTGTAAGTCCAAATTTTGAATACCTAAGCCACCTTGGATTTTTTTGTTGGCACAAAATTTCCCATTTAGCCTTGACCTATATTTGCGCTTACATTTGGTTATTTTGCCAAGAGAATCTTGATCTTAAACAGTCAATCTTTTCCAAAACTCCTTTTGGGAGTTCGAAAAATGATATCATAAACATCGGTAAGCTAGAGAGCACTGAGTTTATTAAAACCAAGCGACCTTCTACCGAAAGCAACTTGCCTTTCCAACCACTAAGCTTCTTCTCAATTCTGTTTTCCATTGTCTACCAATCTTTATTACTCAACTTCCTAGTGTGTATAGGTAAACCAAGGTAACGGAAAGGAAACTTACCCACCCCACATCCAAACAGCTGCGAGTAAAACACCGTATGATCATTTGCCTTACCAAAGCAAAAGATCTCACTCTTGTGAAAGTTAATTTTAAGCCCTGAGAGTTGCTCAAAAGTACTTAAAATTAACTTCATGTTTCTCGCTCTTTCAATATCATGGCTCATAAATATTACTGTGTCATCCGCATATTGGAGGATGGACAAGCCATCTTGGACAAGGTGAGGTAAGACCCCTTCTACTTGACCTGCTTTCTTTGCTCTAGCAATCAGAATAGCCAGCATATCTACCACTATATTAAATA